TCCAGAGTGTTGTTCAGCATGGGGGTGAGTAAAAAATGAAGGCTAATCATGTTTTGGGTGTACTATTCCTTTAATATATTTTTCACCCATAAAGGTTGAAATCTTTTCAAATCATATGATAATGAATGACTGTTTAAAGGGACATTGAAGTATTGTTCAGTTGTTTTAACACATGATTTTAATATATCTGAGATTTTTTTTTTTATCCTGATGCTAAACGTAAACAGCCTCATTCAGAAACTGGAGCTCTTTCTCCTTTTGGTCCTCCTCGTCTTCATCACCTCTAATTATTTCATCAACTTACAACCAATCATGGATCCCTTTAGCTGATCTCATCCTTTTGAGCTTTAGTCTACTGCAGACACTTTTCTTCCAGTATTTTCTGACTTTTTTATTGTCAGAATTCTGAGATTAATGTCAGAATTCTGACATTTTTCCCATGTTAAACTGAAATAAAATTTAAAAATCAGTTAACTTTATTTTTTTTTTCCCAGTGGCCCTAATCCTCTTCCGTATGATTGTGCTTTTATGAAAAACATTCCAAACATTTAGTCACTGTTTGTAGTTGGAGTGGCCACTCTATTAACATGGTTTTGTGTTTCTCTGTGCCTTGAAGCCCGTTTGGACCTGATCTTAACCGTAATGGCGTTCTCTCATCTGCAGAGACCCCATGCAGAGGTGAGCCGGTCAGAGACTACCACCGGCTGCAGCGAGGCTCCGTTCTCTGCCAGACATCAAAACCTTTCTCCTGGGTGGAGTGTCAGGGTCACTGCCGAGCCGAGACCGCCGCCTCCTGCTGCGCCCCTCTGAGGGTCCGGCGGCGGCGTCTTACCTTCGAATGTGACGACGGGACCTCAGTTACGCAGGATGTAGAAAAGCCTGTGGAATGTGGCTGCAAGGAGTGTGTGTAGCTCTGTGGGAGGGAGGTGCACACATTTAGATGCACACCGTGTGAAGTCCAGCCCCCAAACCCAGCTCCAGACGTACACTCGCTGTAGGATTCTACCATGCATTTTGGGTGTTTGTTTTTTTTCGTGTGTTTGCACACAAAGGCATTTTTGTAACATAAGACATTTTCTCATCAACCGGTCGACCTCATCCTCATGCTCCTCTTCCTCACCTGCTGTATCAGAACCCGTGTTCTGACTCCCAAACCGTCACACATTATTAATTTACGTGAGTGAGCCCAAGTCCTGCTCCCCATCCAGGAAACCAAAACCTGATTAGACTGGTTTTTTTACCGCTGCTGTCCAGGATCTGTAATCTGTCATCGTTTACTGCTGTCTCCTGCATTCTCTCCATATTTTCTCTGCAGCATGGAAGTAAGCATCAAGTGTCCAGCTCATTATCCTTCAAGATGTGAGTGAATATGCTAACCAGCGCCAGGTTTCCTGTGGTGTCACACATTTTCTAAAAAATGGTGCACCTCATGTTACACTGTGACTGAATTCCTGGCGTATGTCCGGCGTTATATGGTGATATTAGCAAAAAGTCAGGCGGACAGAATGCTATGTGGGCGAAATCAGACGTGTTACCCAGAGACGTTTTCCAACATCTGTCTTCTGATGTTCTTTCTTGTGAAGCTGCAGACGATGATGTGAAGACATAGTGGCGTTAAAACACTCCTCCTGTAAGTCTAGAGCTTGTCTTCCAAAGCGACGCGTTCTGCTCCAGTCTCGCTCAATCAGAAACAAACGGAATCGAAGTAAAATTTCCTCACAGTAGTGAGGAGAGATAATCTCCCAGGGGAGAAACATCACACTAAGCTGAACTAATTACACCATTTTTTTTTTTTCTTTAATGGCCTACCTTACAGTAAAAATAAACATGTTTACAGCCGGGTAAAAAAAACGATAATTATTTTGTCCTTGTAAAGCAGCAAAAAAAGGAGCTAGATTCTTAATTGACTTACCTTAATGAGCCATAATGCATTCAAAATTCACCTAAGATGATATTGGCCACATGCTGACCTTGAAGACGGTGACTTCGTCCATCTTAATTATACATTTACTCTTTTAGGATAGAGCTTCTGCTGCTTGAGTGCACCCTACAGTGATTTCCAAGGTCATACGTTGGACCTTTTACAAGGAGAATGGTTAGACAGATACACTTTTCCTCCCAAAAGCTACGTAACATTGTGCCATCATGTATATTACTGAATACTTGGTTGTTTGTGTAATAGCTTAAGTGAGTGCTCACTCAATACATCATGACGTTAGCTGTTCTTCATCAGGGCCCATTAAAAGGTTTGGCTTCTAAAAGTTGTGCTGTATGACGCCAATTTCTCTTTAAGAGTTATATTTAAAGAAAGCATTCCAAGGAGTTTTCATACTGCTGTGAACCTTGATTATTTACATTAGGAGCAGAGGTATAGGCAGGCCTAATGTATGAGTGGGAGCTTTAGCTATGAAACAGGATTTAAATTGAATAACTTTTAAGAAAGACAAGATAACTAGGTTGACATTTTTAGTAGTTTTATTGTGGGGTCTCAGATCTTAGGAATAAACTTATCAGGCTTTAGGTCTCAGGAAAACAAATAAGTTTATTGTTAAAGTATGTGATAAACAAACCAAGCAGGTATTTAAGTTTAACAAAGCTAAGTTTTTATTTTGGTTTCATAGAAAGATTTCTTCAAATGATGGCAGACAAACGTTTCCCTCTTTTCCAGGGAATCCTTTGTGGACAAAGCAAATTGTTCAGGCCTGAACAGCAAAGGTGGACGGCAGTGGCAGAAATTGGCATTAAAAATTTACATGTTCTGTGATTTAAAATAAGGTTTGGGATGTTTTGGGAATTTAAAGTCGTAAGGAAATCATATTTAAATGTCAAATTATTCTGGCTTAAACGTGTATATAAATGTACTCTTTATCGGACCATATTGTCCCAAATTTAGAAAATTTCTATTTTAAAAAATATTTCTAAAATCGATGCTTTTTCTTTCTTATACAGGCCAGTTAGTTATACGTCAGCTTGTACACCTAAATTCGACCAATCATATATCAATGGTCACCTGTCAATCAAATGTTTTCGGTTATAGCATCTTGTTTCATATGTCGCAGCTAATATACGCAACGGTTGAAATAAGAAATCAGAATAATTTACTTTATCGTTGAGTTCCGTCCCAGTGTTCATGGGGATGGATGTCTGTGTCTTCAGCAGGCGTAGAGCTAACAGAACTGGCAGCGTTGCGAGGCGAGGGCTCAAACATGTACGGCTGGAAGCCTTCTACACCAAACCAAGCTTCTGCCGCCCTGGCGTCCTCTTCCACAACATCTTCGTCCCCGCTTTCCTCCTCTAAATAAAAAATGGATGACGGAGGAGACTCATCCACGACCTCCGACACTAAACTCTCCTCCTCTTGCATGTTTCCGCTGTCCATAGCGTTCCTTGACAGCGTCGTTGCTAAGTCACCAATTTAGTGCTACTTGGTCCCAATGGAATTTCCCATTGGGACCCTGCTAGCGCTAAGTTGCTAACTGGTTAGCAAGATGCCTCAAAGAAACCGGCCACAACCAAACTTGCTTGCAAACCTTCCGCCACAACAATCCCGCCCCCTTGATAATCAACCAATCACATTCACTTTATTATAATAATTACTTGTGTAAAGTCCTGCTCCACTCGGGAGAATTCAGAAATGCAAAAGTTGGAACGGCCGCTTCCCTACGACTTTAAGAATTCCTTTAACTTAACAAAAGTGCTTCTTCCTTTTCCTGAAACCTCAGACCAGATACGTTTATCCCCAAGAACTGAGATCTGACTTCTTTCCTGAGACCTGAGAACTTTTCCTTCTGAGAATGGAAAACTTTTTACTTCTAAGAGATGAACTTTTCTCTGAGCTTTGAAAGCATTTCTCCTAAAAGTTTTTCTTAAGAGCTTAGAAGTTTTCTCCTGGGACTTGACGTAGTTTTCCCTACGTCTGATAAATGGTTTTCCTCAGACTTGAGACCCTAAACATTTTTCTGAATCCTTACAAATTTTCTAAGATGTCAGACCTGACAACCTTTTATCTGAGAGCTGAGACCTTTTTTTCCTGATATTTGAAGTTGTACTAAACTGTACACCATAATAAACCTCTCTAAGCTCATATTTATACGCCGATAAAAACAGAACAACATAGTTTCCTGATCAGATGTTCCTGAAAACTCCAATCTACCTAAAAATCAAGTATAGTTTCCAAATTGTATTTGGAAGACATCCTTAAGACGAAAACAGACTTATTCCATAGTTATTTTATTTTATTTCCACTTGTGTTTTCCTTCACTGAATAACTCCACTACAATTTAAAGCAGTTTTTTCTTATCGTTTCAGTGTGAGATTTTGCTAGAGCAGCTTCCAGCTTAATTAACCTTTACCAGAGGGCCAGGAAAAGTGTTTTCTTCATAACAGCAGGAGAGAAAGAGGGCAATAAACCTATAATCCTGGTGAATGTATAAGAATAATGAAACAAGTGTGTAAATACATCAGATCTTCCTGTTTGCTGTGATTCTTCCAGGAACAACATGCAGCTCATCATTCAGAGCTTCGCCGTAAACCAGCGTCTCATTTGTTTTCTTCCTCCAACGTGCGAGTAAAGCCTGTGAACGATCATGCCAATGCCACATCGAACTGTAGCTTTTCTATACGTAATGTTGTGGTATTTATATGGATGTCAATCTAAAGAGAGTAAAATGAAGGTTTCATTTGTTTTTTTGTTTTGTTTTTTTAATCCCTGATTATGAACTTAAACTAATGTTAGTATTTGTGAGAAAACTGTAGTACTTGTACACAGAGTAACACCCTAACAGATTGTGATGTCGTTATAAGCTTCTTTATAGGCTTTTTCTATTGTGAAGGAAACGTTGGGGGCATCTGTACCTTAACCCTGAGAGTCTCTTCTGATGGTTACTGTTTCATATTTATTTGAATAAAGAGTCGATTATCCTTTTTTTTTTTTGCTTGTCTATCTTTTTTCATAATGACCTTGAGGTTTCTTGTTACTCTTGACCTTTGACCTCTCTGGATCCAGGCTATGCTGCAGGTGGATTGAGGCAAAGATGGATCTCAGGAACATGAAATATTCTTTTTTATGTTAAATTTCCATAGATTTCCTGTCTAATTTTTTCAGTTTCATCCTTATTTTTCGTCTTTTGTTTCTAAAATGAAAAAGTTGCTCCTGGATCTTCATCAGATGGACGGACAAACACCAGGAATGCGAATTTATAATAATTATATGGCTCATTTTTTTTATACATGAAAAGACTTTACATTAAATTACTTTACAAACTTTCCGGAACGGTGTAGGAACCATGAGAGTGAGGTGGGAAGAACAAGTGAAAGGGGGATGAGAAAGGGGTGTAGATGGAGGAGGCTGAGAGACATGTGTGATGCTGATCAAACACAGAAAGGAAGGATGGCTGGAGAAGAGAAGAGAGAGAATAAGGGGGGGTTCATGCTGGGAGGAGAAGGAAGAGGTGGGGGTAGCTCTCTGAGGCTGAAGCTGTTTAATGAAACAGTGATTTATGCATCCCTCCATAACCATAAAAGATAAAATATACCCCCACCGGCCGTGGCTTTCCTCCCCCACATGCACAGATTCAGAGGCACCGTCCAGCTGGCTCTCCACTGAAAGCTGCTGCATCCTTCCATCACCCCACCTCCACCTCTGCAAACCTTCCTCCACTGCCTTTCCTCCCCCCCTCCTCTCTTCCGTCTCTCAGAGCTTTAAAGGAGGATAAATTCATGACAGCGTCACCGACCCAACCCCCCGATTTTAATAAAGCCTCTACATCTCAGCGAGACGATCCGCCGCACACAAAGAACCTAATTCAAACATAAATACATCATCTGCTTCGCCCCCAGTCAGATGTCATTCTACAGGAGAGTTTTGAAAAGCAAATTAAACTCTATTTATCTTCTACTGATGTACAGGAGTAGTTTTGACAAGTCAAGGAGATCCTGCGCTAACAGTGAATACATTGAAGCATATGTGAAAATAGTTCTATACTGCTGCCGCCTCAAAGAGCAAATGAGTCCAGGGAGCTTTAAGTTAAAAAAAATCAAGCTGTCTTCATCACCTCTTAATGTATGCTCACACATACTGTGTTAATGTAAGCCAAACACCTCCCCAATTTAGCCTTCAGGTTTCTGCTGGGGTGGAAAATTCTGCTGCGTCGGCTGAGATGAAAAAAAAAAAAAAAAACTCCCTAACATAAGTTTAAAACATTTAATCTCCAGAACACAAAGAGATGGCTTGCTGAACAGATGAGGACCTGATTTTACAGAATCCCTGCTTTTTTAAATTCCCTTTTTAGATGCGATTTGTGCTCTTGGTGCAGGCATGTCCAAAGTCAGTCCTCGAGGGCTGCCGTCCGACAGGTTTTCATTGTTTCTCAGCTTCAGCACAGCTGATCCCCATGACCTTCGGTTCAGCAGAAGCCTGTTAGTTAACAATGGAAATCCTCCCTTAAGAAGGCCTGTTTTAAGGGCCTGTCACACCTTGACATTTTAGCCAATGTTTGCCTAGCCTCGTGAGACCATCCTGATCTCGCGAGCTTTCAAGGTTTCACTCGCAGATCAGTCTGGCTACTTTCCGTTAAAGAAAATTTGGAGCCGTTCACCAAACCAACGTCCAATCAGCGTCGGCTTTGAGGCGGGTTGAGGTGTGACGCAACGAGAAGCGCAACAGTTCAGTCTAAAGAACATGGCGGCTTCAGCCGATGAAACTAGCGTTAGCGTGGCTATCGAGCAAGTTTTATCGGAATTACAGAGTATTTCTTCACTGAAAGAAGAGCAAAACACTGCTCTGGAGGCTTTTCTCAGAGGAAAAGATGTTTTTGCTCTTCTCCCGACTGGTTTCGGCAAGAGTAGCCTGGCTTGTGGTTGCGTTTTCGTCGTCGCTCTGTTAGTACGTCATATGCTTCGTTGATCTGATTGGTTTATTTAGACCATCTATCACCAACATAGGCCAATCAGCTAACCAGTATTTTCGCCCCTTCCCAAAATTACTTCAACGGAAGGTTTCCAGATGGATATGCGGAGCAAATCCATCTGGCGGAGTCAGGTTAATGTTTGCCTAACGTAAGAAAAATCTGGCAAAAACACTGGCATACGTTGAATAAGTTCTTGGTATGTTTTGTATAAGTTATTAGCACGCTGAAGCACACTGACACACGTCAACATACATACGTCGAGAAATTTTGACCATGCATAAAATTTCCCAGCGTATGCTACATGTTGGCCATAAGTTACAGGTAAGTTATCTGATTGCTTACATATGTTAATTGTAAATTACTCATAAGTCGTGGCGTCTAGCTTATCCAAACTATATGAGTAATTTGTGCATAACTCATGCGTCAAGAACTTCTCTCCAATGCATATCAACGTATCTGACGTGTTCCAGACTTCCAGCTTCTGTTTAATGGCGTATTGGCAGCATTTTGGTATAAAGGGGGTTCTTTGGACGAAACCGTCAGCTCTCCTCCAGACTTCATCTGGGGAGTGGTGGCCTAGTGGTTAGGGCATAGAGCTTGGAATCCTGAGGTTTTGAGTTCGAGCCCCACTCCCACAGACTGCCACTCTGGGTCCTTGAGCAAGACCCTTAAGCCCGCTGCTCCCCAAGGGGATGGGTTATATGCAGATAATTCATTTTGTTGCTCTGTACTTGTGACAGTGGAATGACAATAAAGTTGATTTCTATTCTATCATAAGGTAAGCGAGAAGGTGAGTGTCATGGAACTTCCCTGCATTCACGGCCATGACCAACAAACTTCCTAGCAGACATAACTCTGAATCTGCTGCAACTGAAAACCATGTTTCTTTTTCTTTTTCTTTATTTATTTTTTTTTGGGTGGGCGGTAAACAGCAGCGAGGTTAATAACACCATCAAAGAAATTTGATGGTGGTATTAACGGCTCAGCTGAGAAACC